ACAGAAAAGTTTACTGATTTTGGAGTTATAGATACAGTGATCTCCAAATCTCCCATTAAAAGATAGCATGGTTTTGCTTGCACAGTGAACCCAACATTTGCCATATAGGAATGCAACCAGTAACTCATATAGGATCAATTGACCAACCAATATCTTTAAAGGTTATTTACCTGATGTAGGGTGAGATAAATTTGTTCTTCTCTGCTCTGCCTCCTCCTCATTTTTTGGCCCTAAATGAACAAAATGTGCTTATCTATACACTTCTTCAATTACAATGTTACACTTTTAAATATGAATAGTAAAGTCAGTTGGAGACTGTAAGTCTTGGTATAGTGCACAGGTGTGTTGCTACTCCCTTTTAAAAGATGTTTTCTCATTTTCTGAGTCTAGTCTTCAGTTCTTTGATTTTCTGGTGATGCTTCTGAACTTTTCAAGAAGAAGTTAGTAATTTTGAAATCAAAATCTGTAATCTCTAATGTCAACCAACAGAGATGAGCATTCCACATAGTGCTGAACTACAACTCCCAATAGCTTCAATTAACCTAACCAACAGTGAAGGATGCTGGGCTTTATCTTTCAGGAATAATTTGACTGTCAAAAGTTGTCTATCTCTGGCATACCATTTAGTATTTATTGCAAGGAATATTTATTTTACTGTTCAATATTAGTTTAAAAAAGGGAGGCATTCACTGAAATAAGAAAGTATCTGCCATAGACAAAATAAGAAGAATATTAAGTTAAAGTGAAGCACTGTCTAATTTTGATGTAGCTTGGCGTATATTAGAGGGCATATTAAATTCCCTGCACTTCTAAAGTAGCCAGCTATGGAAAACACTCTTGGCTAAATTTTCAGTAATACACTTTTCCCCATGTTGCTCTTCCTTTCAACTTGGCTAGTTGGGGATGATAGGAATTATTCATCCAAAGACACAAGATTGGGGAGGACTTAGTTAAATGGACAATTGGTCTGGCTTCATTTTAAGGCAATTTTTAATTTGGTTTGCTGTCAGACATTGCAACTATTAAGATGGGGCAAAGGATTTGGGGGCTGAAAAAACTCAGTCATTAATAATCACACATTTGGACACCCCTTTCTCTGCTTTACTGTGTTAAATTGAAAGTTTATTGAAAAGTACCATCCTCTGTTAAAAGGTTAACAATCCTAGCTTAAGCTTAGTCCTGAGGTTTCAAATTTATATGCTTGTATTTTTAAAAAATTAGTCTGCAACATCAGACTAATAAAACTATCACTCATAAAACTTATTTAGAAGCCCCCTCTTTTTAAAAATCTATGAAATTTTGGATATATGCTTTTTTATTATTAAAAAAGGCTTTCATTCAGCCAAACCTGTGTGGTACTGACTAGCTCTGCAAAAGTCCTTGTGATGTTTCTGCCTTTAACAGTAGAGTACATTCAAACAACCGTGCTCGCTTCCTTTCGTCTTAGATGCATAACGTCTGAAATTTACAAATAAGAATAGGAATACCCTTTTGAATTTAAAGCACTGTTACATCTCATACTGCCTGTAGATTATTTTAACCCTCCCATACACAAATATATTACACACGTAGAAAAGTCTCTTTCTTCCCTGCCCATTGCTGGGAATTGTATCTACTTACTCTGCCTTAGGCTTTTCTGCTCAAGCAGCTTCCTCTGCTGGTGTCAGCAATTTGAGAGGCTATTAAAGGCAAAGTTTCAAAAGCCAGGAGAAAAGTTGGCAATCTTCCCTAGAAACCAAGATCCTATTGTAGGATGACTCACTGATTTCGGCTTTGCACGCTGGTGTGATGCTCTTTGAAAGCCACAGGGAAAGTATTCCCGTCATAGGCTTTCTACTCTTTCTGTGCAATTTTTTTTCTTTAAAAACCTCCCAAGTGGGTGACTGCAGGGCAGATTGTCTCCTTAGCTAGAACGGAAGGTAAACCTTTCCAAAAATGTGGAGATTTTGTGCTCTATAATGAATTAATTACTTCTATGAAGAAAACAAGAAAATCAGGGGGCGACTTTTGGAATTCTTTCCGTCCCCCTTTACCAGAAGTGGCCATAGGCAGCATCAGTGTTTTCTGCTGTTTAATGAAGTATGTGTTTGATCTCTGTGTGTATGAGATTCTGCTTCTCTTCTTGCTGTGTGTATGGATGCACTGGGAAGCACAAGATAAGTTGTATTTGTTCCTCCTGAGACCAAAAGTCCTGTAGCTTACAGTGGAGCAGTCAGCAGCATTTGGCTACCATAAGGATTCAATGGATTTTTTTTCAATGGATTTTTTTCCCCATAGTCCCAAGCAAGATCAAGGCCATTTTCAAACATGGTCTTTGTTTTGCTGGCTTTGCCTCTTCCTCTCCAACTCATACTATTCTGTTCAGTCTTCAGGGAATTAATTTGTTGATAGAACTCCAAAGCTCTTTAAATAATTTCTCCCCAATATTTAGTTGAATTGAAAATTAAAAGGAGATAAATTGCAAACTATGCTTGAGGATACTTTCTCATAATATTCCTGTCTTTTGGTACTGTAGGTATATAGCAGTTCTGTTGGTATTTGGACATGGTCCAATTCTATGGTCTGGGCCTTCTTCAGAAGTATTGACTTCTACCTTAAGTTTTACTCAGGTCTTTTCTTTTTCCAATGTACCACTCACTACAGATGTCTTATAAATATAGCCTCTTCCCTTACTAGCACTTCCACCTCATTGGAGCAACTCAGGATCTCAGTACCTAGTAAATTCCCATGCTGGATCTCATCTGTTATTTTTTAATCATCATAGTTCATGATTTAAGTGGCTGAATGTAGCCCTGGGGTTGGGTACCACTGCTTTTTGTAAAAAAATGAAATCCAAAATAAGACCTTTGTGGAGGATTTCAGTGGAATTGTATATCCCCTTGTTATGTGTAAAAGCATCTGCAAATGCGTTGGGAGAGGCAAATGAGCAAGGTTGATGTCATCGTCGGACATTATTATCATTTTGGCATCACTGATGCCACTGCCTACATATTTACGTCTTGTCTTCACAGGGCTATTAACAAAAGTTTTACTGAGTTTCTATGTGAGTCAGGAAAAAAAAGACATGGCTGTTTAAGAAATCAACTTATTTGGGGTAATAAAACTCTTAAAACTGCATCACCTCCTATTCAGACCAACTCAATAAACTGGAAATTTCCTGGGCAGAGAGGACGAATAGGTCAGCCTTTCCCCAACCATTTCCAATAGTTTGCCAGCCATTCTTTTCATCTACAAGGACAGCTGTGCCTCTAAGCCAACTCTACAAGTTATGCCTCTATTATTGTCCTTTGTATTGCCTCCAAACCATAAACCTTAGATGAGTCTTCCCAGTGATGAGTAGTTTCTTTACCAGCAGAGGGCAAACACACTCTCTCTCCCTCTCCCTCTCTCTCTCTCTCCCCTACCTCCCTCTCCCTCCCTCCCTCCCTCCCTCCCTCCCCCTCTCCCCCATATGGGCAGGTTAGTCTAGGTCAGGAGTGTCAAACTGCCGACCCACGGGCCAGTTGCATCATGAGGAGGCCATGCCCACCCCAGCTCTGGCAATGAGAAAAAAGTTGTGATACATCGTGACACATCACGTGACGTGGCAAGTTTGACACCCATGGTCTAGGTGAAGGTAGTCTTTCAGAATTAGTTGGAAGCCATACAAATTTCTCTAATGAAACCTGTCCTTAATTGTAGAAATTCATGATATCATCTCAAAGGGCAGGATTTGTTCCCTGTCATCCCAGAGAGTGTGAATAATTGATTTAAGTATCAGCCACAGAGATACTGTTTTAATCTTGGGAATTTCCTAAGAGTTTTCCAGGGCAATGGAACTATTTACCCCAATGAATAATTTGTTCCCTTTCAGTGGATTTGTTCTATGGTGGCCAGTGTTTTAATCTGGATTCCTATATAAGATAAGGTTGAAGACCTAAATATTTAAATTTATGATCTAAGCTGAACATCTACATGTTAGTGAGTGTCCTTATATATTTTCCACACTGCTATGCAAAAGTGACAATTCATTGAAAAACTTGGTTATAGTCATACTGGATTATTTCTGCACCTGCTATTTTTTCAGTACATATTTTCTCCAGCTGTATCCATTACAGTAAACTGAAATTATGAAGCAATAATGAGCTACCACCTATTCTTAGGATTTTTGTTAGACAAGTATCTTTGGCTTAAGGTTGCACATGGAGTAAGAGCACGCTGATGTTAGTAGAAAGGATTAGAATGTACTTTAACAAACTGCCAGGGTGCTGATGGGCAGCACTACCATTAGGAAAAGTAATTGGGCAGAAGAGCTGGAGGTTGGAGAATGGCAGGGAGAGGCATGAACTGAACAGGCAGCCTTGGGCTCCCTAAACTGCTACTCTGTCACCAATGTTGACATAAGGTTTAATTGCCAGTGAATCTGGGTGGCAAGTGACATCTCATCCTTCAGCTTGGGCAGCAAAACATCTCTGGCCAGTCCTGTTATTTGGACTTACCAGAAACAACTAATATCCTTCTGTCTGACATTTCAGGGGAATAGTGTAATACAAAGCTTATTCTTAGAGGAATAACAAAAATACGTGACATTTAAAGCTACTGGAGTCTATGCATTCCATAGTGCCTTGACAACCATGACTCAGATAGAAGAATGACCATTAAATATAAATGTTAACATTTATCTGTTGCTGAAAACATTTTAATAGTATGATACTGGAGGTTAAATCTTGTAGTAAGAAATGTGCTCTAAGATCAGCCTAACTTAATGAACTGACCTCTGAACAGACACACAATTGCCATTTTATTTCATAATATAGTTAAAAAAAACATCTCTAATGACATTTAGATGTTTGTTAACAATACAACACTAAACAAGGATGATACCTGAAATTTAAGGCTCTTCAATGTTTTTTTCCCAAATGGTATGTCATATCTGTTTTGTACTTTATTGAACATCAAATTATTTGAAGGCCAAAAGTACCATAAACAGGTAGTTGCATTTCATGTACCTTTAATAAAACTGATATAAAAGGCTGATGGGGGAACATATACAGCACTGGAATTAAATTTCTAGTATCTTGAGTTTGCTTAAGAAAAGCCATCGGCTTTTCTGGGTGCGACTTGCATCTTTACATGCAATATAATCATACATGTATCATGATGTATAGCTGGGCCTATGGAGGTATCCTTGTAAGGTTGAAATCCTGCCTTAGCCATGGAAATGCTCTCTTATTCCAACTTATTTGCGCTGCTTTTGCTCTGGGGAAAGCCCGGAGGAGGGAGTATGGTATATGCTATCTTGAACTCCTGGAGGAAAAACAAGATATAGAGCAAAAACAAATTAAATAAACTAAGCAACTAGCTTATCACTCATATATCTTAACAGCTGTACCAATTTACATAAATTTTATGATCAACTCTAAGATTCCCTCCTAGCAGCGTGGTGTCATTTACAACTAAATTATACTTTAGATGAAAGAAATTAGAGCTCTAACCCCAAACTGGCTACTTTGGAGGTAGTTAAGTTGAATAATGTTGGAAATAATATCAAGCATCAGGTTAAGAAAAGCTTAGGAATAATGACTTATTTTCTCATGAGGGAATCCTTGTTGGGTCTTATGAACAGTGCTTTTTTTGCAAAAAAAACAAAAAACAGTGCCAGAACTCACACACATCATACAACCTGCCTTGCCTACCCTACAAGGTTCCATCCAAAAAAGGTTCTGGAACTCCGTTCTGGGCGTTCTATGAGAAAAAAAAGCCCTGGTTATGAATAAGACCAACATTCTAAACACCAAGAGATGTTCAGTTTATAATACCTAGTCATACTCCCCAGAGAGAGATCCCATATCTGCTTCCTGGGAACATCCTCAGTCATCTAAGCTAGGGTATACTGTATATTAAAAGAAGAGTTGGCTTGTTGTAAAATGCACTGATACTTAATCACATCTACAAGAACAGACTTTGCTTGCCCCCAGTCATCTCTAGCATGGAAGAAAGGCAAACTTCACTTCTTGCTTCTATCATGTTTTTCATTACTATTATTTTAAAGGAACTCCTCTTTTTCCTTAATTCTTCTTAAATACTGACAGTTCAGGAATCCTCTCTGCTTCTCCTTCCATCTTTCTTTGATTCAAGTGCCATCAGTTCAGTACTGTTGAGGGAGGTTAACATAGCAGAACTGTCATTTCCTCAGCTTTTGTAAGGTTGGCAGTTTGGCAAAATTCCACAAGTCCTACTACATGTGGGGGGAAATTGCATCTGTTCATGATCAACTTGCCAGCACTTACATGAGCTGCCTAAAGTTCAGTGGTGGCTTATTTCAAGCAGCCAAAAAACTGTGGCTGCTCTGCATTTTGCTGGGAGTAAGTTTTTTTTAACCCTACTGCACATCTTTTTTTGGAGGGGGGGGGGAAGAGCTTCATACGTATTTCTTGCCCTTCACTTTCCTACTAAAGAGCGCAAACACCCTGCTGATTCTATTGATTGTAAATCACAACAGAAGGAATGACGCAGCGGATCAGTAGGCTGGCTATGCTCGTCACTGGAAATGTTTTGTACATGCAACTATAGTGATATGATAGGCTCATAGCTATATATATCAAAAGATTGAGAATAGTGACAACGTAGGTATGCACTTTTGCCTGTATAGAATTCCAACACATCTATCAGCACCCAGATATTTTTAACAGACAAGCTCGACCTGACATTGCTGGTCTGTGAAGTAAGACAATCCATGGTATGTTTTGACTATTTCCTTCGTATATCTTTTCCCAAAGAACTCAGTCAAATACTTTGTATATAGTTCCTAGGGCGTCTCACATAGCTCTCTTAAACAATTTTTTACACACTCAAGTTTCATTTCTGATTCATTTAATTTATATTAAAGAATAGCACTGAAGGTGGTTAAGTATAAAAGGGATAAAATGCAAACAACAATAAGATCACCAAACTCCTAAATAAAACATTACTGAAGAACATAGTTTAAAGCTTAGAACATAATATTTAGAAACATGTAAATAAAATGGAGTAAGCCAATTTAAATGCCAAGGTGTCAGCTATCTTATCCATCAAAAAGCACAAACAATATTTTTGTTTACTAGTAGAATGACTGAGGTGCTCTTAGCCTGATTTCTCGTGACAGGGAGTTCCAAACCTTGGAAGAACTTTTGAAAAAGCCTTTCATATTCTACAAAGATGGCAAGACATATATAGAGTCTTCTAGTGCAGTTTTAAACTCATGACAGTTTATTAAGGATAAATATAGCTTCCCAAATAGCCCGATTCCAAGTTGGGATTATAGTTATTGTTTGTAGATGGTGTTCTTTGTATTTAAACTCATGGATCATTACTTTGAAAACTATACAGGTTGTCCTTAACCACAATTGGGACCAGAATTTTGGTTGCTAAGTGATGTGGCCATTAAGTGAATCATCACATCACTGGACCTTATTTTATGACCATTTTCACCACAATTGTTAAGTGAATTATGTGATCATTAAGTAAATTCAGCTTCTCCCTTTGCATGTTGAAAGTTGGCTATGAAGGTGGCAAATCATGATCATTTTACCACAGGACACTGCAACTGTGGTAAACACAAATCAGTTGCCAAGCACCCAAATTGCAATTAACTGTGAAGGTGATAGGATAGTTATAACTCTGACAAGGGTTGTAAGCCATTTTTTCAGTGCTGTCATAACTTTGTCATAACTTTGAACTGTTGTTAAACAAATGGTCATAATTTGAGAAGTATCTGTAGGCTTGATTTCAAAAAAGTTTTTCTCCTTCAGAAAGTTGACTTGCATTCCAAGCATCATTGTGAGTGACAGCAGGATTGAGAGATTGTGCTGACTGGTTTTATTGCTATTGAACATTTGTACTCAAAAGTTGGCATGATTTGCTATTCTGCACCACTATTTTATCTTGCCATAGTATTCTCAGGTGGCAGACATGTATCTATTTCCATTAGCACATCATTATTTGCAATTCTGACCTCATGAAAATATGGATCTGAAATTTAACTGTTCAGATTGCATTAACTGATATCACCCCAGTATTTTACTGTCCCAAATAATATTTCTTATAGTCCAAAATTGTTATATTGTTTATAACAAATACAAAAATCAAAAGGTTTTGACTCCTAGCATGCTAAAATGGCCACTGAAGTGAGGGTAGATTGTAAAGGATGACAAAGTAAAAAAGAGATTATGGCTTAGCTAGTGCAAATGTTTTGTTTTGTGGATCATGTCTCAAAAATGTTGGATCCCAAAACTTTCAGGACAAGCAGAACATTCTGAGGTTGGGGTTTTTTTGCATGCAGAATTGTCTATGTACCAGAACATTTCAAAGAGAAAGCTAAAAATGCAAGGAAGAGGGAAAAAGTAAAAGAAAAACAGAAAAGTAGAAAAATGATACGAAGTAGCTTCCAATCCTTTTTACAGCAGTTATAAGTATAAATATAAATTTACCTCTTACTCTACGGTTACAACATAATCTCTCTCTTATTTCTATAACCCATCCTGTCTAATCATCAAAACCATAAAACATATGTTCCTGTTTTTGTGTAACACAACAAGTCCATAAAGGATTTCCATTCAACAATAAATGAAGATGTTGTCTTTTCTTTTATCAAAGAAACTAATTCTCAGCTAATTCCTTATGATGGGTCCTCAGACTTCTGACTCTTGCAGCATCTCAGTGTTCGTGCAATTGTGATTTCCGATGTTCCCTGCTAACTTCCTACAGTGTGGAAGCCAGCAGGAAGTTGAAAATCATGTGAGGCCCTTGTTTAACAGTCCATGCACTACTCACCTAATGATGGTCCAGAGTCATCCAGCCAGCTTCGTGCTTCAGGGAGGACCAGAACTCATAGGTTCCTGGCTTATATCTTGGTGCCTTAAGCACTACACCAAACTGGCTCTCCTGTATGACCTAGTGACTGCCTATTTTATACAAAGCAATCTCCAGAATTAATTTTTCTTTGAGCATTTAGTGACATTCCCTAAAAACATTATGGAGCTGAACCCACTCTGTCACTTAATTCCAGTTGCAAGAGCCATTTAAATTTTTTTGTTAGCATCCTTTCAAAACAGAACAAGATTACTTGATTCCAAAGATCACTTGGTGTCATTCTTTTTAGTGTTTTACTCTTTTTAATTGATTTTATCTTCACTTTTACAAAACCCAGTTTCTAAGTTCCTTGACTTTAAAGGAATGTAAAGTTCCTTTATTTCAACTCCTCAGATAAATCAGGGAATTGTATTTTTTGTACATTCTTCTTTTGTTGTGTTCAAAACTGAAACTAGGAAACTAAATAAAATTATATGATAAAACAAAGAAAGGAATATGAATGCTTTTCATTATGTTCTGAGAATATCCACACATTTAATTAAAATGACCAAATAGATACTGCATTGAAATATGTTGTTTAGAAATGCTGACAATATAATTCAGGTTATCTCCTCTAACTTTACCAAACAATTTGTTTTGGCCCAAAGATGTTAACGGGCTAGAGAGACTTAGAGCATGGAGGGAAAAGAGCCAGTAAAATAATATTGTTACTATTAGTGAAGAAAGGATCTGGATTATGGGAATGTTTTGATAAAGCACCCATTATTTTGTGCTATTTTTGAAATCATCCTTCACCTGCAGGATGGAAGTTGATACAAGAGACTGATAGAGCTGAAAGAGGAAAGAAGTACTGAAAAAATGGAAAAGAGGAAAGTTAGATTTGGTAGAGATGGGATGTTTTGGAAAAGCAATTAATTCATTTCTCTGCTTCTCTCATTTCCATGTTTCTCAGACCAGGTTCTGTGTGTCATGCTGTGGGGATGCACAGGGATACCTCTCTTCCAGATATAATACTTAGGACTTTCTCTAGTCCTCACCCCGGGGAGGTTCTGTTATCTTTCTTCCTCATTCTGCTTCACCTTTTGCCACCTGAGGGCTAAGCTCCTTTCCCCGCCTCTTCCAACATCCTCACCTCACCTCATCCCACCCTCCTCATCCTCTTCCTCTCAGCTGGTTCCCACCCTCAATATTTCCCCCACCCCTTGCTTCAAGCCATTCGCCCCTCCCCCGCTCTCCTCGCCTTACCTTGCGCCCCTCCTTCTTTGGCGCCTCCCTCCCTCCCTCCCCCCCCACTCCCCAGAGTAATGCTCTCGCTTTTTCCTTCACTCTCCCGCGACTCCTCGCCCTCCGCCCCCGGTTGCGTCCTCCCCGACTCTTTCCTTCCGCGCCCCCGCGCCTCTCCATCCCAGGAGCCCGACGCCTCTGGGACGGGATTGGTTGCTCGCCGGGGCCGGAGG